CCCTTTTAATATGTACGCGGGGTACTGACAACTCCTGGGAGTGTCCCCTAAATCCTCCTTATTTCTCTGGGCTCTCAAACTCTTTTAAGTCTTTGATGTGTAAAAATATCTTTGTAACTTGGAGTTACCCCATTCTGAACCTTTAAGTTAATTTTTAAATGATACATAGAAATTGTACCTATTAATGACATGCCATGTGACGTTCTCATCCCAATTTTATTTCCAAAAGTTGTCTGATGCCTCGCATCCCAGTGGCACTCAGCAGTGAAAGCCACTATGTGATGATAACTGAATGGCTAATTCTAATCTGAAATGCCACGTGTATATTTTAACATTAGAACTCAGCTAAAATACTCAAAAGCTGTTTATGTTTGTAGCATTCTACAAAATATAATTAAATACATGAATTCTGATTCAGTATCTTCAAAAATAAGTTCCTAGACTTTGTTTTACCACAATCAAATTTTAATCAAAGGTTTATCACCTCTGTTTTAGTCAGTGTTCACTGAATAATCTATGAGTTAATTATACCATTTAAAAAGAGACAATAGGCTTCAACGTGCTATGAAATGAAGACAACATATTCAATTATTGCTGTTTTTAGATATTTAATATATCTTTCGTGTGCCTTGTAGGATCATTGCAGTTGCTAACACCTGTTTTACCCAAACATAGATTAAAAACTGCACAAAATACGATGAGATTGGTTTGGAGTTTGGAATAATGCTGAAGGCTCTTAATGTCATGGTAAGCTGAGAGTATCTGAAAAGTCAGGACATACACATTGACACAAACACACTCACTGATGGACATAGAAATGACAGACTTCATAGGTGCTTTCATATGTTCATAAAAGGTACCTGATTTGTCTAGTAAATCTAAATTAACCATTAACTTCTCTCATAAGTAGTTATCAAACATAGTGGACATGTTTTTTCAATGGAAAGTTGGAAGATCATAAATACATTCAAAACGGCAACTATCAGGAAGTTAAGCAAAGGTTGCACTATTGAACCAGCTAAATCCACTTATCCAATGTCTTTTAGAAGTATTGTTGAGTATACAGTATGTGCGAGGCACTGGAGCCGACAATGGAACTGGAACTACAAAGATTATCTTGCAAATAAGATTATGTTTTTCTCTTCTCAAAACGTTTATAAATGAGAGGGATATTGTTTATGGTTGGAGCATCAACAGAATTAAATATAGGATAAGGAGTTTGTTGTAGTCAGGGTTTGCAAGGGAATAGATTTAATATAGGACACATAATTTATAGGATTATTTTATAATAATCACCCAAAAAGTCAAATGCAGAGGAGAGCAAGAGATCTGTCCACACACTAGAGCCCCAAAACATCCATCCAAGGGCCTGGAGCCCACAGCAATGTCCCCCAGGAGTCCAGCTAAAGGCCTAGAGCCCAAGGCAATGTCCTCCACGAGTCTAGCCCAACAATGTTCCATGCAAGTCTGTATCGAGGATCTGCACCAGGAAGGCCCAAAAGTCAGTGGAGGAAGTTAGAAAGCCTGCACCACCAGGGTGAAGGGTCTGTGCCACTGGGCGGAGGGATCTGGACCTGGGAGGCCAAGACCAGAGCTCCCCCAAAGAGAACAGCAGCCAAGTTCAGGAACAGCCAGGACCCGAGCTGCTCCAAGGAGGAGAACAGCCAAGTTCACATCAGGAGAGCCAGCCACAGCAAGCCTCCCAGGAAAATCAGCAGCAATGATCTTCCTCTCCAGTTCTCTTTTTTATATAGATAAACATTATTTGATTTTATCCCATTTCCCCCATCCCCCTCCCCTCCCTGACCCTCAGGTGAGTCTTCTGCACCCAGGACCACACTGACTCAGTTCAGCTGGGTGTTCCAAGCTGACCATTAGTTAATCCATCACAGATTTTAAAAGTTACTTTCGAAAACAATTTTAGATCATGCACCATTTGTGAGTTTCATCCAGTGAGTAACTAGAAACAATACAAAGGCTAGTTGGAAGGGAACAAAGCCAGCCAGGACCCAGCTGTGCTTGCTCAAGAATAAGCAATGCAGGACTGTGGCTATGTTCTGGGAGATGGGAAGATTATGACCTGCAGGAATTTCCTTTATCATTATATGTTATTGAATAGGAAAATAATTAATTCCTCATTGGAGACATCCCATAGGATTTTTGGGTACACACACTACTTTGAGTTTACCTGTTTCATACAATTCATTATATTATATTTTATAATATATTTATGTGTCTATCTCCAGAACCAAATCACAACTTCATTGAGAGCATGAACTTGGTTGAAATCATTTTTTTTAATTTGCAGCATTTAAAACACGACTTCAAGGAAGTAGTAACTCACTCTAATAATATTGTTGAGGGTGTTCACTAATATGTACAGGGTTAGCTCTTTGAGAATTCAAAAATTTTTTTCAAAAACTCCATTTTCTCTGCTTTCAATATCATCAATAGTGTGTTTTCTAAAGAAAGTTGATTATTTTTAGTTAGTGAGCAATAATTTTAACTGCTTGTTGTTTGTTACTTTCCCACTGATTAAAAAATATCCAGGGCCAGGGATTTAGCTCAGAGGTGCGGCCACCTGCCTCGCAAATGCAAGGTCCCAAGTTCGATCCCCGGTTCCAAAAAAAAAAAAAAAAAAATAGCCAATTTACACTTTCCACTAACAAGTAGAACTCAGGGATTTTATTTTGTATAAAATGTTCTATTACTGTTTACATCCCATTTTTTAATGTATATTTCTATTTGTTTCACCTCTTCTAATTTCACATTATTTCCTCCTGCTACTCACATTTATGTAAATCACCCTAAAGTCATTTTTAAACAAACTGATTAAAATGATTATCCAAATGCCAGGTGTCCAACAAATACCATTTCAATAATTGAAAATGAAATATATTGTTGAAATTAAAATTAAATGGAACTTACACCTACACCGTGCTTTTAATATTTCCATGCCTTATGCTAGGTTAATTAATCTCTTTAACTTCCTGACACCAATACATTCAGCAACAAAACTTACAGCTCTGACAAAGAACAAGTTCCAGAACTGCTCTACACGGGTATCGTATTCTATATTCTTAACACAGTACATGTAAAGAACTTTTCCCCTAAGGGTAATTCTAGTACTTTAGCAATTCATTAAATAATATGGGATTTTAGGGTTGTGTTGTACAAAAGTGCAATTTTTATTCTTTCATATAAAATAACTGTGTTCTAATTTCTCTGAGGCTGTGCAGAGTCATTTCTTTTGAATTTTGCTGACAAATGACCCATAGTACTCAAAGTTTAATAAGTTTAAAGCAGACTGTGGGAAACTCTGGGAGCAGTGGGTGGGGCGGGCAGTGCCTGCGTTCCCGCGGGACTCCCAGCAGAGTGCAGGGGGCGATCAGCAGCAGCGCGGTTTCCACGGGGCATTGTTTTTGCTATGAAATTAAACTTTAAACACTCAAAGTGGCAGCAAAATCCTTCCCATGAATTTAGCTAGAAAAGACTTGTAGCCAAGGACCGCATTTTTGCTGAATAGCTTCCGAATATTCCAAAGAACAAAATTTCTAGGCTATTTAATATCTGTATGTTTAACTGGAAGGGAAAGAATCTATACATTAAACTACATTATTTTAGAAAGCATCTTGCTCTCTCCATATTATCTTTGTAGAAATTCAGATCAAGGAAAAAGCCACAGCTTCTGTTAAGGGTTAAAGGGTCTGTCCTACATCCATAAAGCAAAATGCACACGTGGCCGTTTAATATTAAGTTGGGGGAGATTCTTTTCTTAAATAGCTGCTGGAATCTCGAGGAATAACCCATCATTGTATTTCCCTTTCTAATTTTTATTTTTATTAGTACATGTCTCCACTACATCCTGATTATATTCATCGTGGGGAGTGACTGTAGGATTAAATAACACATCTTAATTCTTTATTATATTTCTAAAGCTGGAAGAACCAATCTTCAGGGGAAATTAAATTCATTCTAGTAAAGAACACAAGACAAAAACCCAATGTGACCTTCTAAAGACCTAAACTGTAATTAGGAGATTGTACAGTTTTTCATCTCTTAAAAAAAATTTACAAAGATCAGCAATGTTGTACTTCGTGGGAGATGTTCTAAACTTTTACTCTAAAGCTACCTAACGACCTGTGGATGCCTAAATACATACATGTACTCTAGCACCGAGCTCTGTAGAGGAAACAATGATATCAGGAGAATGAACAGCAAATTTTCATAGGCTACAAACATCCTAGAAAAGGAATTTCAGATTTTCTCCTTAAAGCTTAATTTCCACTTTTGTAACATATTTTATTATTCTGCTGTACCATTATTAATAAAACACAGTTTTGTTGCAGAAACTTAAATGCTAAAAATGATAACTAACTCAAACACATTAGCCAAATAGTATAAAAAGTCATTTAGGTTTTTTTCAGACCATTTGCAAAATGATCCTCTGTTTTAAATGTAAAGATTCTAATGCTTTTCACAAATTTAGGATTTATTATGAAGATGTCATCATGTCACCTCAACATTAAAGGTTAATAAGATTTCTAAATGGATTAGGAAAAGGAGAGGTAATGTGATGGTTAGCACTCAAGGGGTTTCTAGTCTTACAACAACATACTTTAGGAAAAGTTTGAAAATATGGAATATTTAGCAGAACTCTTACTCCCTCTTGTGACAACTAAATAAAAGGTAAGTGCTACATAAGACTTTCAACAGGATATCTAATGAAGTTCTCCAAGCCAAGATTAGAAATCTGAAATAGAATTCAGCTAATACAAGATAATTTACATTACTTAAAACAATTATTTGAAATAAAAATTCATCATGAATTTATAACAATATCAAAAAATTCCCTTTTTTCCTTTTGTATTTTAATTGAACATGCAGATTTTTATATGTCTACATTTCTTAATACACTAAACAAATTAGTGTGTATGATAAAAAAGCAGTAAAATTATCCAGATATTTTTAACTAAAAATGACTTATTTCCAAGACTCACATTTTTCTTGAATACAGTAGTCTGCTTATCTGCAACTTTACTTGTGTGGTTTCAGTTGTATTATGGTCAAATGTTCAAAAACATCAAAAGGAAAGCTGCAGAAATAAACAATTCATATGCTTTTAATTGTACTCTGCTCTGAGCAGTGTGATAAAATCTCATGCCCGCAAACTCCATCTTGCCTGGGACATGAGTCTGTTTCTGTCCAGCATATCCATGCTGCGTATGCTATCCACCTCTTAGTCACTTAGTAGCTGTCTCAGCTACCACATCAGCTGTCAGAGCATTGTGATGCTTGTGTTCAAATCACCTTTGTTTTACTTAATAATGGCCCCAAGCTCAGGTATCATGATACCTGCAATTCAGATATGACAAAAAGAGGTCATAAAGGGCTTCCATTAAGAAAAAGTGAAAGTAAGATATTTTGAGAAACAGCAAAAGAGATCATATTCACAAAACTTTTATTATAGCATATGTTTATAACTGTTCTATTTTACTAACAGACAAATTTTTTTGGTGGTGATGGTGGCACTGCTGGAGATCAAATCCAGGGCCTTGTGCATTTTAGGCAAGTGCTTCCTACTGAGCTATATCCCAGCATAACTGTTGTATTATATTATGAATTAGTTATTTCCTTACTGTGCTTTCACAAATTAAACTTCATCATTGGCACTCACGGATAAGAAAAGGCACCACATCTGTCTGGATTGGTGTTGTCTGTGGTTTCATGCATCCACTGGGCTATGTTAGAACATATGCCCTCTAGAGCAGAGGGGTCCACTGCAGTTTCCACAGATATTTGTACTTTGAAATGATCGAAAAGAGGTAACAGAAACAAAGGACAGTTGTCCTAGAAATACTGAAAGGCCCAAATTCAAATGCACGATGCACAACACGGATCAGGAGCCTCAACGTAAGTGGTCCCTTTTAAGTGCCCATGGCCGACTGAGGAGAACCAATTAAAACCACCCTGTGTTACAAATGACTGAATGACTGAGATGGCTGAATGAAAGTCATCTCAGATGCTCTGATTACAGCTCTGCTTCCAGACTCCACAGTAAGCCTTCATCTCCCTATTAGAAGAATTCCAGCATTCTCTAAAAAGACCTAGGACTAACACATATGCTTAAGCCTTAGTCAATATTCTTATGTTCTATTTCTACCACACCTTCACTGAAGGCTATGAAATGCCCTATCCATTCATTTTATGACCAACTTAGTATTTTATTACCATAAAAAACAGGTAGAGAAACATTAGCCACAGCAATTAGAAAAGAGAAAGAAATAAAAGGAATAAAGATAGGAAAGGAAGAAGTTAAACTGTCATTATTTGCTGATGATATG